CAAATCGAATTGAAAATACTGATACTTATCGATATCCCGTCAAATGTAGAAGCGCCTTTGGATTTTTGCGTTCATTATACCCTTGCAGAGGGTATTATAATTTCAGTCAAAAGTTTGCAACGCAGTGAAGCAGACATTTCCGACCCTATAAAGTATATACATTCTTGATCAGCATCACCAGGAGAGTCGATCTAGCCATGTCGGTCTGTCTGTCCCTCAGTTTTAAAGCTTGAAACTTTCCCAAAATTTCGGAACGAGCCGGATCGGGCCACTATATCATATAGATGCCATACAACTGAACGATCGGAAATGCCATAACTTTGGTGTTTTTAAAGTTAGGAAGTTGGGATTTTTATGAGTATTAAGAATGCATCATATGAATAATTTTGGAGAATATAATTTACAGAATATTCTGCAAGGGTATATCAACTTCGGCTCCGCCCGAAGTAAGCTTTCCTTTCTTGTTTTAATTATTTTTTCGCTTAAGAAAAAAAATATTATTTTTTAAAAGAGCGATAAAAGTGAAAAGATTGTGCTTTACATGTATTAGTTTTTTCTGATGGATAAGTTCAAAACATTCTGTGCAAATCATTCTGATACACATTATTATTTATTTTTCACTTTTTCACTATGGAAGCCCCTGCGTAAAAAAATTGGGAGTTGGCTTATATTATTAAAGTATTGTCGGTGGAATTGGTCTATTACTTAGGATAAGAACAGCTGGCTTAAAGCCAAAGCTATGCTGCGAGCCATGTTCAAAGTTAACTTTGATTTACCTTTATTTTTTTTAAATTTTATTTTTAAGATTAGCACACTACCATCCAACTAGTAGCTTAATCTAATCGGTTAAAAAAAAAAATAAATAAATAACATAATAATTTGTCTAATCCGGTCCGGTAGGTCTTGAGGGTGGTGTCGTTTCAGTCTTCTTTTGACTCAGTTACTTGGTTGAGCGCTGTTTATAGCAGCGGTACCAAGTCTCTCGGCTAGGCTGTTGGGGTGCTCATTTAGCCTTTTCATGTACTTCCGAGCAAGTTCAAGCAGCTTGTCTCCAAGTTTGGGCACATTAAGATCACATTCGATGTCAGTAGTTCGCATAAACCACGGAGCTCCAGAGATCCTTCGAAGTGTTTTCGCTTGCAAAACCCGGATTTTGTTGAGCTTGGTTTTTGCAGCGATGCCATAAACCCGGAGTCCATAGAAAAAACTTGGCGCTCATATGGACTTATAAATTTGAACCTTACAACCAAGTGAGAGCTTGCTGCGTGGTGCGAGAAGCCAAGACATCCGAGAAACTTTGGTCCTGAAGGTTTGAGTTATCTCCAGATCTAGCATGTGCTTGAGTCCTTAACAATAAGATTAAGCAGTGCATCAATATTCCATTGCATGTTCGATCGAACCAAATAAAAAACTCTCTTTATTTTTTTTTAAATTATTAGGAACAGGCCTGTATATCTTTTGCCCAACTCTTTCTAAATAAACTTAGTTATGCCGATATTTCTATTAGTTTTACCATTCTAGGCAGTACCGACACATATACTACCTGCAATAGAAAGAAGACTTTTGGAAAAGTTTTTTCTAAACAGTTTTAAAACTGAGAGGCTACTTATGTATGCCCGTTACACATGGTAGAGTAAGAGGGTATACAGTATTCGTTGGGAAGTATGTAGCAGGTAAAAGGAAGCGTTTCCGACACTGTAGAGTATATATGTTCTTGATCAGGATCAATGGCCGAGACGTTTAAGACATGACCGCCGGTCTGTCCGTCCGTATGAGCGTAGAGATCTCAGACAATTCACTTAAGGGGGTATATACCTTTTTCATTTTCAAAAAATCGAAATTTTTTTTTTTGCTTTATCTTAAAGAACAACTTCTTGAGAATATTTCCCAACATTTTCATAGAGATTTGAGCTGTAGAAAAAAAGTTACAGCGCTCCTAGCCGCGCGCCTCGTCCCCGCCCAAACCCAAACTTGAAACTTTAAACGCGAATATCTCGAAATGGTTTATTTAAAAATGACTTTGCGGTGATATAGATTGGCGAAAAACTACTGAACCGATTTTCTTCAAATTTTTTTTTAAATGTTCGTAATGAATTTTATTAGTACTTGAACGATCGTTTTTTCATGTAAAAATTTTTATTTCGCCGAAATAGATAGTTTTGTAAGAATTTTTGCGTCCAAAAACGTTATTTTTTGCACTAAACGTTCCCGTATGCACAAAAAAAAAAAAATTTTTTAAAACGTTCGTTCAAGTACAGGATACTACTTTAAACTAATGAAATATTTTTATTTTTTCGGTATCAGTTGACCCATTCGTCCTGGGGAATTATCACCGCAAGGCTCTTTAAAAAAAGGCGTTTAAGGGAAACAGCCACACCTTAAAAACTATTAAATATTTTTTCAAAAATTTTTGCATAAACATTGTAAACAATCTAAACTTTCAGAAAATATAATCATTCATATAATGAAAACAATAGTTACATACATAAAAAAATCCAAACATTCCTATTTTTTTCGACAAAAAAAGGTATATACTGTAGGGGTCAGGTTGGCTTTGAAAATAGAAAACCTTACAAGCGTAGAATAACTCAACTTTCATCCCAATTCGTATATACCGCAAGTCAAAAGTTAGGGTAAAGCGTAGATCATACTAGTCGCACTACTCGAACACGCAGAGCTTGATCTTCCCTCTCGCCCTTGCGTACAGTCGGTGCGTGCGAAGGAGAATAGAGGAAGAGGAGAAATCAGGAATAGTCCCGTTCATCGCGGCTCGCGAACTTTCTAGTACACGTTGCCGGCGCACTGTCGGGCAGCAGCTCGTTCATTTCGTTTTGTGATCTTTGGCAATCAAGTCATACTTCTGTGAGCCGAATAGAAACTAATTACAAGTCCATTCCCCACGTGGAATTTGAGTACCAATAAAGAGCCACAAACGGAAGAATAAAGAAGAGATCAACATAAATCTGTTTCACCGGCGCGTGAATAGAATTCAGCGGGTATTTATACAGACAGAAAATCTGAAACACTGGACATAACCTAACAGTAAAAATTTCCATGTAGGCAAAAGACCGGTCCGTACGCAAGGGGCGCTCACGCTTTCAACTGAATAAAGTGCGAATCTACTACGACCGGCCAAGCGCTACGATTATTGCACTCAGCAAAAGTGTGCCTCAGGCGACACGTGCAGCTGAGACTCCGCAACCCAGAATTGACACGCGGTCGGGCCACGCCCACGGGCGCGCCTCTCCGAAACTTGTTAGCGTCCTCAGAATAAGAAGAGCCATCGCGACATAGCTAATTACCCCCGGATCTGATCTGGAGGAAAGTTTTTCGGCTGGCGTTTGCTCGGAAGATCACGTGATAACCGGCGACAGACCACGACCACGCTGATCCCTCTTGGACAGTGGTGCGCGGCAACATCCCACGTGCTTCCATAACCGAGCAGCCCGAATCACCCGATCACCACCATCATAGATCGACTGTAAAGAAAAGGAGTCAACAGCGGTAGCAGAACACAAGCCCCGCGTGAGGGCGATCCAGGCTGATCACGTAACAGGATTGAGAACCTCTTGAATTAAGTGGCCATGTGAGCGGCTTTTGTGAAATCCGTCGTCGCTGCCGAAACATGCGACCCAGCGCAGCCATCAACTAGCGACCCACTAGGAATCGCTACTAAGAAAGTCGTATTGAGCTTTCCACGTATATCTATAATTTGTTTTCTTTGAATTCCGACCCTGTTCTTACGTTAATTTTTCTTTTCATTTAGCTTGTAATCCATGTGAATGCCTAATATGTACGCCAACACTTATCCCGTTTAATAACAAATAACAACGCTCTACCAAGTCTAAATCACACAGCACCTGCATCTTCAATGGGCCCAGCGAAACAGCAGCGAAGGATATATATTCCGTAAGTGACCGCCGATATCGGCTTATATTTTATATGCGAACATTTGTATTTAACCGGGAATTTAAAGCTAGGGCACACATATGAGCATCACATAACTTAGTACGTAAATTTAACTTCGCCCACCTTGAAATTGAAACGAAATTGAAACTGACAAACTAATCTTGAAATGAATCTGAAATATTATTGAACTGAAGCCAATATGAATTTATGTAATTAAGCCTCAGTATACGGTCCGTCGTTGAACAACGCAGTTAATGTCGAGTTTTCTAAATATGAAGTAATGGAGTAATAAAAGACATTTGACAAGGGGTAACAATGAAAAGATTTTCATCGTGTTACTAAGGATGGGAGGGTATAGAATGGGGGCAAATAACACCTAAGCCACCCAACACGCTGGTGTTTCTCTCTGAATCTGTTTTGTTAGGGTCCGTCCGAATATATCTGATTATCGCCACTATTTTGAAACCAACCATGTAGAATACAGAAAGTGCACTTAAACTTTTCGTAGTAGAACGGGTGTGCTATATAGATGAGGAGGAAAAAACCCACGCCATATCCGACGAGCTTTGTACCGAGCAAATGCAAGAAGTGCACGATGCCAAGTCATCTATACGCTGGAAATTTAACCAATTTCTTGTGAACACCTACTTCGCGGCTACTACAGAAAATGGCGCCCAACAACGTGGGGCTAGAAACCGATTACCGCATTTGGGAGATTAAAAAAAGAGAATAAAACCCATGTAGTAGAATTTCGAGGGGCCGTAATCTTGAACAGTAGGATCCTCGGAAGGTACTAGCCTAGCGATTTTGCTCAATTAAGCATCCATTTAGCATTAGTAATTTGTAGAAATATAAATCCGTTGATAGCTATTTTGTTTTGAATGTTAACCGGAAGTGTTTTGACGTGTCGTACCCGGAAAAGCGACTTCAATTCGAGTTCTTACGGATTAAGGCGACCGAAGCGCACTCATTCGCTAGGGAAATATTAAAATACAAAATTAACTTCGGGGAACTAGATTTCAATTAGTAGTCGGAAGGAAGCGAGCTCGGAAGTTGTAGCTAGGAAATGCGTTCGATTATCGAGTCATTACGGTACGAACGACCAGTACGAACCAGCCGCAGGAAGCCAACTTCATGAGAATTTTTAGTTACCTGTTCTAGAACATAGCGCGCGCACCTAGGAGATGCAAGAGATCGGAGGAACTTCGATACTTGACCAGGGGAGCGAATCCGTGTTCTAGGAACCATTTCAATATTAATAATTCATTAGTATAGAGCACTTTCAGAGAGAATACCAAGCGGACAGAAACCGACAATTAACTCGTTGGAAAACACGGACCAATTTAAAGAATATTTAAAGAAATTATTTGATTTTTTTTGGATTGAAACATGTCAGTACGCCATAGTACTGAGGATCTGGCAACCGTTGGCATGCGACCACAGATTTCACCACCAATGCATTACGAATCATTTGATATTATCGAATTCTTGCCCAACCTGTAATCAGGCGTGCACCGTGCAGCAGTTGTCCATATCAAATAATAATATGCCAGCAGAAATAACTGATGCGGATCACAGAACAAATAGTGCGAACGTATCAACCGATAATCTTGCAGCTGATAGGGGTGATAGCCAAATCGTTAATCGAGGCCAAGGCAGGGGTGAAAGAAGAGGTAGAGGACGAGGCTCTGCACCACGCAGAGGCATGATAACTAGGTCTCAGCAGCAACAGAGCACAGGTCAACAGAACGACAGAAGCGCAAACACCGATTCTTTTCTGGAATCTTCCAGAGCGGATAATTCGGAAGAAATAGGAAGAGCAGTACAAGCAGTAATGCAATCTCAGCAGCGACAACTGAGGGATGACCTCACTCAGTTTATTCAGTTGCAACTGTCTAATTTGCAGGTAGGCAGTCATTCGAATTCCCAGGATAGGAGAAGGGTTGGCGACGATACAAACAGGCCAGCGTTCACAGCCGGTCAATCGCAACCACCATTGGGGCTGAACACGCCTACCGTAAACCCAAACGTCAGCTCTGGCATTCGCCAAGCGAGCCATCATTCAGTTAGGTCTTACTCTTCGGTACAGCCGGAGAAAGTTCCCAGTATCATCCAAAGCTGGCACGTGAAATTCGACGGAGCCAAGGATGGGTTACAGATGGAAGATTTTCTATATAGAGTAGAATCCTTAGCTCAGCAGAACCTGAACGGCAATTACCAGCTGCTGTGCGATCACTTACACCTTTGTTTCGTAGGCAAGGCAAATGAGTGGTATTGGAAATTCCACCGAGCTTGCCGCCAGTTTACTTGGAATGAATTTTGTCTAGAGTTTAGAGAAAAGTTCAAGGATGTAGACACAGACATGGACATATGGGAAGCGATAAACAACAAACGTCAAGCGGAAAGGGAACCATTCGAGGAATACCAGTTCCAAGTAGAAAAGTTAGTTGCGCGTCTAAGTACCACGATTTCCGAAGAATCTTTGGTCCAACTTCTCATTCGCCATGCAAAACCCTCTCTTAGGTATGAGTTGATGCACTTGCGCATCACCACGTTAGTGAGATTGAGGGAAGAGATAAGTACTCACGAACAGTTTTGTAAGCAGAATAGACCGCAAGTAGGAAAGAACAATTTTTCCGCGAGTCCCAACATCTCCCAACTCGAACAGGAGATAGAGGATAATGATGCAGGAGAAGTTTCCGCCTTGCAGCGAAATTCAATGAAATGTTGGAATTGTGAAAAGTTGGGACATCGTTTCGATGAGTGTCTTGAGAACCGCAGTATCTTCTGTTATGGCTGCGGAGCTAAAAACATTTTTAAGCCGAACTGTCCAAACTGTAAACATCCGGAAAACCGTCAACGGGATGCGTCGACAAAAGTCCACGCGCCGCATCCGAACCATTAACAAAGAACTGTGGTACGCAGACCGATCTTTTCGAGAGTTCGGGTCTGAATATTCAAAGTAGTAGTCTCGAAAAACCCACTTCTGACAGATTTAAACCTCACCAGCCCTACCATATCAGAGAAGAACTATATGCAGCAGCTAGGAAAAGAATTTTTGGAGACGTTAGCAGCTGTAGTGTATCTCGAGAACCCAGACGTTCAACCTCCCGTATGCGGCAGTTTTGGTTAAACGTGCAACAAAGCCGGAAAAAGCTAGTAGCAGCCGTTTTTCTCAATTCTGATAACCGCCTATACACCGAAATTGATATTTTTGACAGACAATACGTAGCTTTGCTCGATTCGGGTGCGACGATCAGTTGCATCGGTGGCAGCGCCGCTAAAGATATAGCATGTCGTCCGGAATTGCGTAAATGCTCAGGGCGTATCAAAACCGCGAATGTCGCGGAGTGTCCTGTCGTTGGCAGACTTATGAGCGACGTCACATATCGGAATCGCACCGATAAAGTCGAATTTTTCGTTATACCTGATCTCAAACAAGACGTGTACCTTGGTATTGATTTCTGGCGCGATTTTGGTCTGCTAAACAAGATAATAGACGAAAAAGAATCAGTCTCCGAACTTGACGTAGGTCGGGACGATGATTTAGTAGAAGCCCCGAAAGTTCATACTCTTTCAAACGAACAACAAATGAAGCTAGAAGCCGTAATCAGCAGGTTGCCTTCCTATGAGACCGAGGGATTAGGGCGAACGCAGTTAATAGAGCACTCCATCGACGTTGGCGAGGCGAAGCCGATAAAGCAACGCCACTGGCCAATTTCACCTGCAAAGGAGAAAATGATGTTTGCCGAAATCGAAAACATGCTTGCCTTAGACGTCATAGAAGAATCGCGAAGTCCTTGGAGCAGCAACTGCGTCCTAGTTAAGCGGGGTGAGAAAATTCGATTGTGTTTAGACTCGAGAGAGGTGAATAAGCTGACCGTAAAGGATGTTAGTTATACCAGCTAGCTTGCGTACTAGGGTGTTCGTTTACTTGGACGACCTCCTAGTTTTATCAGACGATTTCGAATCTCATATGAAGCTACTGGAAGAGATCGCTTCGTACCTTCGTAAGGCTAATCTTACGATCAACGTCGCTAAATCGAAATTTTGTATGACAGAGATAAAGTATCTTGGATTTATAATCGGCTACGGACAGCTGAAAGTGGATCCAAGTAAAGTTAGCGCCATTGATAACTTCCCAGTTCCGACCACGGTCAAACAGCTCCGCAGATTTCTCGGACTTGACGGTTGGTATAGGCGCTTTGTTGATAATTACGCGTCGATAACCTTTCCTTTGACCGAGTTGCTTAAAAAGAACAAGTCGTTCAGCTGGAATCCTGAAGCGGAAGAGGCATTCAAAGTACTTAAGTCAAAGCTAACTTCTTCACCGGTATTAAGAACACCTGATTTTAATAAGAAATTTATTCTGCTCTGCGATGCAAGTCTTTACGGTCTTGGCTGCGTGTTGGCACAAGAGAACGAGGACGGAATCGAGCTACCAGTTGCGTACATGTCGGAGAAGCTAACGAAGGCGCAGCGTAATTACTCTGTAACCGAGCTTGAGTGCCTAGCTGTGATCAAGGGGATTAACAAATTTCGAGCCTATATAGAAGGGCAAGAATTTTGTGTCGTGACCGATCACGCGTCTTTGCAATGGCTTATGAAGCAAAAGGACCTTGGGGGACGCTTAGCCAGGTGGTCGATTCGATTGCAAGGATTTTCATTTACGATAAAGCACAGAAGCGGTTCGCAGAACGTCGTTGCCGACGCTTTGTCGCGTCGAGAAGAAATAGAAGTTTGCGAAGTTGTAGATCCAGGTCCCATAGTTGATTTGTCTTCTAAAGATTTTCAATCGGAAGCGTACCTAGATCTCATTAAACGGATTAGGGAGAATCAGGGCAGACTACCTGATTTAAAAGTGGTTGATCAGTTTGTCTACAAACGAACCGAGCCGTCTAAGGGCGATGCTCTTCAAGATGCTGAATCATGGAAATTATGGGTGCCGAATTCGTTGACCGAGCAAGTTTTATATCGCGCTCATGATTGTCCTCACTCCGCGCATGTGGGAATGACTAAAATGATAGAGAAACTTAAACGATATTTATTTTGGCCCGGTATGGTGACACAGATTCGAGACTATGTATCCAATTGTTCAATCTGCAAGTCCACTAAAAGTCCTAACCAGATTTTAAGACCGCCAATGGGTAACCCAACATCTTCCGAACGACCATTTCAAAAACTGTATATGGACCTCTTAGGCCCATACCCTCGTTCTAAAAGTGGCAATATAGGTATCCTGATAATTGTTGATCATTGTACAAAGTTTCACTTCCTGCACCCGCTGCGAAAATTTACATCAGATAAGATTTGCGATTTCTTAGGAAAACATGTGTTCTGTACATTCGGTGTTCCGGAATCTATATTAACGGATAACGGATCCCAATTTAAGTCTGGCTATTTCAAAGCATTCTTAACTCGATTCAGTGTTGCGCACGTGTGTACGGCTATATACTCGCCGCAAGCGAATGCGAGCGAACGAGTCAACCGATCCGTTTTGGCAGCGATTCGGGCGTACATTGGAGCAGATCACACTAATTGGGATAGGAATTTGGACGAAATTAGCGCATCTCTTAGAGCCAGTGTTCATCGAAGCACGGGGTTTTCCCCATACTTCCTTTGTTTCGGACAGAATATGGTTATGAACGGCCAGGACTATGATCTTTTGAGGAAGCTACAGTCACTAAGGGATGATACCGCTTTGAAAACGCCTGATTTGTTACAATTAGCGCGGAGGCAAGACAAGGAAAAGATTAGAGAAACACATGCAGCCAATGCAAACGTTTACGATTTGCGTATCCGTACCATAAGTTTAAATGTGGGTGACACAGTTTACGCGCGTAGTTTTGCCCAAAGCAACGCAGCGAAAAGGTTTAGTAGCAAATTGGCACCTGTCTTTATCAAGGCGAAAGTAGCAAAGAAGATAAGCCACATATATTACGAATTAGTAAACGAGGCCGGTAAACATCTGGGCGTCTATCATCTGAAAGACATTAAAACGTAACCAAAACACCAGTATCTGCCTGACCTTTTTCAGTTAACGCTTCTGCGAGATAAGACTCTGGTAGAATTAACTGTGGTGTAGGGGTCAGGTTGGCTTTGAAAATAGAAAACCTTACAAGCGTAGAATAACTCA